AAAAAGAAAACATTTGTATATGGTAGACAACAGTTTCTGCTCTAAATGTAGGTTTTCCTAAAAATGTAACAAAAAAACCTTTAACATGTGGGTTTCTCGTGTAATGAGGTAAAGGAGTTTCTAGATGGACATTTGATCACAAGTCAAACACGGAAAAGGCCTCTGCTGTTCGTTCAGTGGCGTCTAACTGCTGAGACTTCTTATGTGAAGCAATAGATAAGTTTCATGTATCGTGGAAGACATTTTTTTTCTCACGAGTCATTATGTGTTAAATCATAACAAAGATGGCTCGATTTAACAGTAAAATGTTTGCCCCATATCGTACAGCGTAAGGTTTCTCACCCGTGTGTTTATTTGATGTGTGTATCAAGATGATGTTTCTGTTTAAAGCTTTATACACAGGTCATAAAAGAAAAGGTCTTTCATCTGATTAAGTTGTCATGTGACAAGCGACCTCTTCATACAGGACAAAGACTTTTCAAAGTAACCGCAGATAAAGTGAGCCCATGCCTGTTTCAAATGGCCTTCATTTGGTAAAAATAATCCTGAACAATACCGTATTGAGGATTCTGCTCTGCAATATTGACATGTTTCCCACTTCAGTAAGCCTGGAATCAAACGTTGGTAGTTTTCCTATTTTAAAAGTATAATTGAAGAGCATTTGTCATGAACATAAAGATTTTTTTTCATGGTAACTTCTGGCCACTAGGGACGCTAGACCTGTAACTTTATCGTCTAGCTATTCTTGCGGCCACAGTTGTTGCAAAAGTCAACAGTCAGCCAGCCAGCCTCCCGTGTCTTTTGAATAGGGACAGTGCTAGGCATCTAGGTTCAGCTCAGAGGGCGTGAGAAACCCTGCTGCTCTCTAGAGAGCACAACTGACTGACTAGATTGCGTGGCACAAAGGACCGGTGGCGGACCTCGGACATCTCAGTTAGCGTTTGTCTGTAGCCTTCTAGCTTTCTCTGCCCGTATTTTGCTTCTACTAAACATTGAAAATAATAAAGATATATGACTGTTTACCAGGAGCAAACGCTGCTGCACTCTAGAGAGCACTGCCAGAGGACCAGCAGTGGAGCTCAGGTGCCTCAGTTTGCTTTTATTTGAAGCCTGCTAGATTTCTATGCCCATATTATATTTCTATTAAACATAGAAAATAATAAAAAAAGATGTATGACTATATCCTAGGAGCAAAGTGTAACTTTATAGTCTAATAATAAAATTGGGGAAAGAGAATCGGTTTTACAACCACCTTTTTCTTTAAGCCTGCGCCAACGAACAGACTCCTTTCCAAGATCAACTGTTGTTTTTCCTCATACTCGATCCCTTTCACGTTTTCTCTTTTAAGCCTCCTTTTAAGCCTCCTCTTTCATCTTTTCTCCTTTTTTTCTGTCTTTCCTTTCCTGTTGTACTTACATTGCAGTGTCCATATATCTGTAATACCCCCTGCATAATTATAATAAAGCTACTGCTCCACTTGTGAAAGCAAAATTTGTTGTGCTCTTTTTGGCATCAAGACAATTATTCTTATTGCCACATCGCCAGACAGGACACTGTTAAAAGAAAAAAAAAATGTTTAAAGTTGTTCCTTGCCTCAGCCATGACCAGAAGTGGAATAGGAGGAAAAATAATATACCAAAAGCCTTAGCTTCATGACTATATAAGAGCCTGTGGCCGTAAAGAGATATGTTCTTCCACGTCACATGACCTTGCCAATGACGGTGCGTCATCTATCACCAATTTACATGGTATTTAAAGAGGGGAACCCCGCTGGTAGCACTGACAGTATCAAGCGATGTATATTGACCTGAAGAATAATTTAAAATAACTCATGTGTTTTAACTCTTTAGGTCACAAAGTCTGCGGTGTGGCTTTAAAGGGGAAAGAGAGAGCGACAATGCCATGAGATGAGAGTGTTGAAGATATTTAGTCTAAAAGCCAACATCTGGTGGATCAAGACAGCGTTGTATTTAAGCAGAGATGGCAAAAGTACTCACTTTCCGTACTTGAGTAAAAGTACAGATACTTGTGTTAAAAAATACTCTGGTAAAAGTGGAAGTACTGATTAAACTTCTTTACTCAAGTAAAAGTAACAAAGTACAGGCTTGTTAATTTACTTAAAGTGTAAAAGAAAAAGTAGAAACCACTTTTTTCATGCCGTTGCCTACATTTTAAATGGATGTCTGCCAATAGGACTAGATCTCCGTTGCTGCAATGATTTGCCGCGAATGAATACCGCCGAATCTGTCGATTCATCTTGTAGTGGTGCGTCAAATGCAACGTAGATTCCCATCCAATTAGATTGAATTTGGTATTGATGACGTGAAAAATAATAACCATTGAAATGATTCAAAACTAAAGTAACGAGCCAATTTTTTAAAATGTAAGGAGTAGAAAGTACAGATATTTGTGTAAAAATGTAAGGAGTAGAAGTAAAAAGTCGCCATAAAAATAAGTAGTAAAGTAAAGTAAAAATATCAGAAAAATCTACTTGAGTACAGTAACAAAGTATTTGTACTTCGTTACTTCCCATCTCTGTATTTAAGTGTAGTTTTAAGCTTGATCAGTGGTCCTGAAGAACTGCAGATATGATTCAAAGAAGATTACAAGCAGGTTTACAACCCAAAGGCTATAGTAATGTGTTTCAAAGGGTAAGTTCAGGAACCCAAATCAAGTGCTTTTCAGAAGATTTAGAGAGCTAGATTTGACCACACCTGGTGTTAGGCAAGTGACAGCAAGGCAGAGGTTCAATTAAATGTGAAAAACCAAAGAAAAGCCTTGTTGTGTAAGATATGGGATTTGAAATTCTGAGTAAAATACAATTTTTTTTAAAGGTTATTCTTCACCACTAAGAAAAGGAATAGGTTTTAAAGAAAGGGTTTTGCGTTGCACAGGATTTTAAAGCCACATGGCAGTTCCATCTTTGCAGAAGTACAAACTTTTACTTTCTCAATCCCGTGCATCAAGACAGCTTAGTACTCTAGTGTAGATTAACCTGGCTAGTTGATCTGAAGAGTTAAGATGAAGACAGAAGATCTGCCATTCTGAAGCTGAATAAATTAGTGTCTTAGGAAGAGTCTGTAGGGATGAAGACAGTTTTCCAAGAAGATTACCTGGCCAAGGGTAAAAAAAAAAAAAAAGAAATTTCTTGCATTCTGAGTAAGAAACTCTTCTTTTTAAAGCAAGTGTTTTCAACTAAGATATGGTAAAAAAAAAAAAGGTTGACTTAATTCAAGCTTTAAAATACACCTGCTAATGTTTAGTGGTGTTAAAAGTACACACTTTTGTTACTTAAGTAGAAGTATAAATACTGCGGTTTAAAAATAACTATCAAAAAGTAAAAGTGAAAAAGTATGTGCGCCGAAAACTACTTAAAGTATTGAAGTATAAAGTAACCTTTAAAAAAAAAAAAAAAAACAGCCAGATGCAACTATATGAATTGAAAGCTAAATTTTCTGACTATTTCGAAAAAATTCTTTGAGATAGGGCCAAGGATGAGGGAGGTCTTGTTGGTCTCCATCTCCCGATACGCTCTCGCCTGTGTCTGACCTTTTTTCTTTTTCTGAATCCAACATTGTAGCATGGCATAGACAATTCACGTTTGCAGTTTGAAGAACACCTGCCTGCTTCTGATGATTTCCTTTAGCTAACCAATGAGTGTTTGCATTATATGTCTCATCCAATCACACTAGTTTTCACTAGATGTGGATGGAGCCAATGATCTGCATTGGATGGCGCACATGACGGGAAATAAATATCTAAACATTAAACCGAAGCCAAGAGTAACAAGTAACGTTTGTCTTAAAAATGAAAAGAATCGAAACTACAGATACTTGTGTGAAAATGTAATGAGTAGAAGTCAGAATAAGGAAGAAAAATAAGTAATGGAGTAAAACAGGGTTTATATAGGAATGAGTAACTCTAATTCAATGCTTTTAAATGCTCTTAGAACTAATTTTGATGCCTTCAACAGGTACCCATGACTCGCATATATATACATATAACACAGCAAAATCCAGTGTTGTATTACGTACTAAAATCTCGGAGTCACGTAAAAGTATAAGTACCTCTCCAAAATATGACTTTGGTAAAAGTTCAAGTCACTGACTGAAATGTTACTTGAGTAAAAGTCTTAAAGTGTTTGAAATGGCTTGTACTTAAGTGTAAGAATTACTAAAAAATAGATGTACTCAAGTAATGTAGTAAAAAGTATAAGTAAAAAGTAGTGCAGTTTAAATGACATTTTTTTTACATTTTGGTAAACTTTGAAGGTTAAATTCACTTAAAATAATATAAACAACCAAGTGCAGGAAGAATTTAGACTGGCTTTGAAACAGGCGTATCCTATTGGTGTTAATGAACAAGCCCAGGCAAGACCCGACTTTGTAGTCAGTAGGTGGGGTCAAAACACTTGCGTTTCTCTCGCTCTCTCGTCCGTTTATTTATTTATTTTTTTACTTAATAACTAAACCAAACATTGAAAATGTATCGGAGTAAAAGTATGCAATTAAGTTTGTAAATGTAGTGAAGTAAAAGTGAAAGTTCTCAAAAAAATTTATACTCTTGGATAGGGCTGGGTACCGAACATCGGTTCTTTTATGGTACCGACCGAAATGCTTCGGTTCTACAGAGTATAGAAACATGCCTCGTCTTTCGGTACCAAGTTTCGGTGATTGGCTGTAACTCTTAACGTGATTGCGTAGGGCTGGGTATTGTTCAAAAATGTTCGGTGCCGGTACCAATACCGATACCTTCACTTCGATACCGGTTCCTGAACGACACTTTTTTCGATACCAGTTTTATAATATTAATTCGAAGAAAAAGAAAATTACACAACATAAAAAAGTACAAATCTTGAGTTTTATTTTAAGCTCTGATTTTTCCATTTACATTTTTCCTCTTCTTCTTCTTGTTTACTACTGGTGGTTGGCTTTGGTCGCAGTACCGCCACCTTCTGCTCTGGAGTGTACACGCTTCACCTATGAGAAAAAGGAGCAGCGCATGAACCGAACGAAACACACACGAGCCGAACCGAGACAGTCGAACCGGACGGTTCGGACGGTTTTCATAAACCGTTCCATCCCTAATATATGGGCATGGTTCTTAAGTAAACCTGGAAGTCTTAGCAGGTTTTCTGTAGCCAAAGTTTTTTAAACATCTTTGTGACTTTTCTAGTCACTAAAAACCAACGACCTAAATGATAAAACTATTGCAAGCGCAGAAAATTGTTGTCAACCAAAGAGAGAAGTGAAAGCAGAAGTCCCTGACTCAAATTTGAAAAGGGGTGTGGCCTTGGGAAAGGGGTAATTAACACAGCAAATTCTGTCAGCCCCAGAGGATTTTAGAAGAACTCTTAGCATAGGGTAATACACGGTAGGTTCAAACTCTGCAAAAACAGATTGGTTTCATAGTTAGACCCTACAAAGAAATTAGAAATGGGAGGGGCTAGATTCTTGCAAAATCAAGGGCTTCTCACTGGTGTGAATTCTGATGTGTTTATTAAGATGAGATTTTTTTGTAAAGCTTTTTCCACAGGAGAGACATTTGAAAGGCTTCTCACCTGTATGAGTTCTAATGTGGTCAGACAAATGACCTTTTTGAGTAAAACTTTTGCCACAACTTGTACAGGAAAACGGCCTCTCAGCTTTGTGAATTCGGATGTGTATATCAAGATAAGATTTCTTTGTGAAGCTTTTTCCACAGAAGAGACATTTGAAAGGCTTCTCACCTGTATGAGTTCTAATGTGGTCAGTCAAATGACCTTTTTGAGAAAAACTTTTGCCACAACTTGCACAGGAAAACGGCCTCTCAGCTGTGTGAGTCCGGATATGTATATCAAGATAAGATTTCTGGGTGAAGTGTTTTCCACAGAAACGACATTCGAAAGGCTTCTCACCTGTGTGAATTCTGATGTGTCTATTCAGATCAGATTTTTGAATGAAGCTTTTCCCACAGGTCCTACAAGAAAAAGGTATTTCCTCCGAGTGACTTATCATGTGTTTGGTCAAACTACCTTTCCGACCACAATTTTTGCCACAAATCATACAGGAGAATTGTTTCTCACCTCTGTGAGTTCTGATGTGTCTCGTCAAAATACTTTTATGAATAAATTTTTTACCACAAATCGTACAGGAGAAAGGTTTTTCACCGGTGTGAATTCTCATGTGTACAGTCAAACTACTTTTTACAGTAAAACGTTTGCCACAAATTGTACAGGAGACAGGCTTCTCACCTGTATGAATTCTGATGTGTCTATCAAGTTCGGATTTCATAGTGAAGCTCTTTCCACATGCAAGACATTTATAAACCTTCCAACCCGTGTGTGTTCTCCTGTGATTTATCAAATGTTCTTTGTTTGAAAAGTTTTTTCCACGTGTTAAACACAGGAAAGGTTTCTCTCCTTTATCTCGAGTCTCGTGCTTCAGAACAAGCTGCTCACTAATGGGGAGCTCCATGGTTTCCTCTTTTATCCAGGGATGTTCTGCTTCTTGCTGCTCTTCTTTTATCTGCAGAGGTTCTGGTTCCTCTTGGTCCAAATTGGAATTCCTCTCCTGTTTACAGAGCTGCTGGTCAGACAAAAGTTCCTCTTTTCCAGCAAAATCCAGTAGGTGGTCTGTAAAGAAAAACAGCAGAAACAATTTCTAATGTAGGTTAAAAAAAGGACACTTCACTTCAATCACACTTGTTTTGGACCTTACTACATATATACAGACTGGAACTACTGCAGCTCTGACATCATATCACAGGTTACAAAAGAATGGTCAATATTAAACTATCTTCTGGAAAGGTGTGGACCTCGACTTTAATCATCACAGCTTTAAAATCTGTCTGAACAAACAATCTGCAGATTCTCAACCACAAAAGACATTTTAAACTAGTTTCAGGTGATTTTGTTTTTCAGATAACTTCTCCGAAGTGCATTGTCCCTTTTGCCAACAGACTACTGGAGATGGGTACCACTGTGACGAATAAGCAGGAAAAGATTGATGGGTGGCTTTTATAGATTAAAATCTCCTCATTTTGGTTTTCATGTTTGTTTTTAGTTTTTAAATGTATCTTCTTCAGTTTCCTTTTTTTTTTTTTTTTTAAATAAACTCTTTCTGACAAACATTATGGCCCCAATGTAGTTCCAGAGATGTCTAGCTACCGTTGTGGGAACATCAGTTTTCTGTTGGTATTCTTTAGAAAAAGGTATTCTTTATGTATATTTTTTATATTCCAGCCAATGACAATTTTTTCATCATGTATTTATCTTCACTCATACATATTGTTTTTCAAGATATGATGGACAGAAAGACACACATCAGCACTGGATCCTCTCTTTAAGGCCCTTCCATTCCCGTCTGCTGCAGACCCAAACAACACTTTCTCCAGAATGCAGACTGAGGCTGCCACTGCATCATGTCATGTAAGTATTTTTTTAAATGTTTATATTTAATAAATATATGTTCACTGAAAATTAAAAGATTGTATAGAAAGAATATCACTAAATTTAAGAGTTAAAGTGTGTTCAATATTATTGTTTCCCTTGTCCTATTTAATAGCAAGATAATTATGGCAATGATGCTTATAAAGGATCTCAGGATACTCTTTGCCTAAGAAACCCAAGAAAACCAGCAGCTTGGTGTCTCTCCTTGGGACAGTCTGTTTACCAACAATAAAGGTTCAGGGACTAAAAACTCCAGCAATAAGTGCTGAAGATCAAGTCCGAAGATACAAATCTGAAACTCCTGCAGGGCTGAATAAGAATCCTTCGATCTGATGCAAATCATCATCTTTGTGTCCCAGGGACCAGTAATGCATCAGAGAGGGTATTTTTAGCTGCTGGTGACATCATCAGTGCAAAAAGTTGCTGCCTCATCCTCAAGCACAGATGATGTCAATGAACTTATTTTCCTTCACAAGAATAATTAAAATAAAATCAATACATGTAATAAAAATTTCAACCAACTTACTTAAAAACATTACGGTAATTTGAATTTTGTTTATTACCATTTTGACCTTTGACGACCCTGGCAATACAATTGACAACAAAATCTCATTAGCAACATTGACCTACCTGCAGACAGGAAAGTGGTATAGTTATATATTTATATGTTAATTTGCAGTGGTAATGGTTTGGGAAACATCAGACAGTATCATTAGACTAAATCTGGCCCTCTCTGCAAAACGTTTGGACACCCCTGTTTAATATTTAGTTAACCACCAGCCTCCCAGACGCTCTCCTTTAGATCTATCGTTACACCTGGAACCACAGAAATATATACGTAGACTTAAAAAATGGAATGGTTTATGAAAACCGTCCGAACTGTTCGGTTCGACTGTCTCAGTTTACGTGTGTTTCGTTCGGTTCATGCGCTGCTCCTTTTTCTCATAGGCGAAGCATTTATACTCCAGAGCAGAAGGTGGCGGTACTGCGACCAAAGCCAACTACCAGTAGTAAACAAGAAGAAGAAGAAGCAAAGCAGCGTAGCCGGGTGTAGCAGGAAAAAATCAGTTCCATCCATCCATCCATCCATCCATCCATCTTCCTCCGCTTATCCGGGGTCGGGTCGCGGGGGCAGCAGCTTAAGAAGGGAGGCCCAGACTTCCCTCTCCCCAGCCACTTCTTCCAGCTCTTCAGGAGGAACCCCAAGGCGTTCCCAGGCCAGCCGAGAAACATAGTCTCTCCAGCGTGTCCTGGGTCTTCCCCGGGGCCTCCCCCCGGTGGGACGTGCCCGAAACACCTCACCAGGGAGGCGTCCGGGAGGCATCCTAAACAGATGCCCAAGCCACCTCAACTGGCTCCTCTCGACGTGGAGGAGTAGCGGCTCTACTCCGAGTCCCTCCCGGATGACCGAGCTTCTCACCCTATCTCCCCCTACAGAGGAAACCCATTTCGGCCGCTTGTATCCGCGATCTCGTTCTTTCGGTCATGACCCAGAGTTCATGACCATAGATGAGGGTAGGAACGTAGATCGACCGGTAAATCGGCAGATGCTGCACCAATCCGCCTGTCGATCTCCCGCTCCCTTCTTCCCTCATTCGTGAACAAGATCCCAAGATACTTAAACTCCTCCACTTGGGGCAGGACACCCCCCCTGACCCAGAGAAGGCAGTCTACCCTTTTCCGGCTCAAGACCATGGCCTCGGATTTGGAGGCACTGATCCCCATCCCGGCCGCTTCACACTCGGCTGCGAACCGATCTAGCGAGAGCTGCAGATCACGACCTGATGAAGCCAACAGGACCACATCATCTGCGAAAAGCAGAGACGCAATCCTCAGGCCACCAAAACGGATCCCCTCAACACCTTGGCTGTGCCTAGAAATTCTGTCCATGAAGTTAATGAACAGAATCGGTGACAAAGGGCAGCCCTGGCGGAGTCCAACTCTCACCGGAAACGAGCCCGACTTACTGCCGGCAATGCGGACCAGACTCTGACACCGGTCATACAGGGACCTGACAGCCCGTATCAAAGGGCCCGGCACCTCGTACTCCCGGAGAACCCCCCACAGGGCCCCCCGAGGGACACGGTCGAACGCCTTCTCCAAGTCCACAAAGCACATGTAGACTGGTTGGGCGAACTCCCATGCACCCTCCAGGACCCTGCTGAGGGTGTAGAGCTGGTCCAGCGTTCCACGACCAGGACGGAAACCACACTGCTCTTCCTGAATCCAAGGTTCGACTATCCGACGGACCCTCCTCTCCAGCACCCCCGAATAGACCTTGCCGGGGAGGCTTAAGAGTGTGACTCCCCTGTAATTGGAGCACACCCTCCGGTCCCCCTTTTTGAATAGGGGGACCACCACCCCAGTCTGCCAATCCAGGGGGACTGCCCCCGATGTCCATGCAATGTTGAAGAGTCGCGTCAGCCAACACAACCCTACAACATCCAGGACCTTGAGGAACTCCGGGCGGATCTCATCCACCCCCGGGGCCCTGCCACCGAGGAGCTTTTTAACCACCTCGGCGACCTCGCCCACAGAGATTGGAGAGCCCAGTCCAGAGTCCCCAGGCCCAGCTTCCTCAATGGAAGACATGTTGGTGGGATTGAGGAGGTCTTCGAAGTATTCCGCCCACCGACCCACAACGTCCCGAGTCGAGGTCAACAGCACACCATCCCCACTATAAACAGTGTTGGTGCTGCACCGCTTCCCCCTCCTGAGACGCCGGATGGCGGACCAGAATCGCTTCGGAGCCGTGCGGAAGTCTTTCTCCATGGCCTCTCCAAACTCCTGCCACACCCGAGTTTTTGCCTCAGCAACCATCCAAGCCGCATGCCGCTTCGCCCGCCGGTACCCATCAGCTGATTCCGGAGTCCCACAGGCCAAAAAGGTCCGATAGGCCTCCTTCTTCAACCTGATAGCATCCCTCACCGGAGGTGTCCACCAACGGGTTCGAGGGTTGCCACCACGACAGGCACCGACAACCTTGCGGCCGCAGCTCAGATAAGCCGCCTCGACAATGGAGGAACGGAACATGGTCCACTTGGACTCAATGTCCCCCACCTCCCCCGGGATGTGTTCGAAGTTCTGCCGGAGATGGGAGTTAAAGCTCCGCCTAACAGGGGACTCGGCCAGACGTTCCCAGCAGACCCTCACAACACGTTTGGGCCTGCCAGGTCTGACCGGCATCCTCCCCCACCACCGGAGCCAACTCACCACCAGGTAGTGGTCAGTGGAAAGCTCAGCACCTCTCTTCACCCGAGTGTCCAAGACATACGGCCGCAAGTCCGATGAAACGATGACAAAGTCGATCATCGAACTGCGGCCTAGGGTGTCCTGGTGCCATGTGCACATATGGACACCCTTATGCTTGAACATGGTGTTCGTTATGGACAATCCATGACGAGCACAGAAGTCCAACAACAGAACATCACTCGAGCTCAGATCAGGGCGGCCATTCCTCCCAACCACGCCCCTCCAGGTCTCACTGTCATTGCCCACGTGAGCGTTGAAGTCTCCCAGCAGAACAAGGGAGTCCCCAGGAGGGGCACCCTCCAGTACCCCCTCTAAGGACTCCAAGAAGGGTGGGTAATCTGAACTGTTGTTCGGCCCGTAAGCACAGACAACAGTCAGAACTCGTCCCCCCACCCGTAGGGAGGCTACCCTCTCGTTCACCGGGGTAAACCCCAACGTACAGGCGCCGAGATGGGGGGCAACAAGTATGCCCACTCCTGCCCGGCGCATCTCACCGTGGGCAACTCCAGAGTGGAAGTATGTCCAGCCCCTCTCAAGGAGACTGGTTCCAGAACCAGAACCATGCGTTGAGGTGAGACCGACTATTTCTAGCCGGAACCTCTCAGCCTCACACACTAGCTCCGGCTCTTTCCCCACCAGCGAGGTGACATTCCACGTCCCGAGAGCTAGCTTCTGCAGCCGAGGATCGGACCGCCAGGGTCCCCTCCCCCGGCCGCCACCCAACACACATTGCACCCGACCCCTATGGCCCCTCTCACGGGTGGTGGGCCCATGTAAGGGGGGACCCATGGGTAAAAGCCCGGCCACCAGGCGCTCGCCATCATGCCCCCCCTCCAGGCCTGGCTCCAGAGTGGGGCCCTGGTGACCCGTGTCCGGGCGAGGGAACGCTGAATCCAAATATTGTAGTCATCATAAGGGTCTTTGGGCAAAAATCAGTTGTTGTGGAGAATTGTGTCGGACTGGCGAGTGGGAAAGAACAGGAGTTGGAAGACGCGCCAGCAGCACTTTATAGGTCTGCTGTATGGGAGCGCTTTGCATTTAGAGTGACCTACGATGACGGCGGAAAGAAAGTTCTAGATAAAAGTGCAACAGTGTGTAAGCATTGTGCAACACGTTTTGTTTATGCTAACAGCTCTGGAGTGTACACGCTTCGCCTATGAGAAAAAGGAGCAGCGCTTGAACCGAACGCAACACACGCTAATTGAACCAAGACAGTCGAACCGAACGATTCTGACGGTTTTCATAAACCGTTCCATCCCTAATACACACACACATATACACACTACCGAAGGAAGAGCACTGTACTTTTCAATGAAGGTAACTTTAAACTAGTCTTAACTTGAAAGAAATACACTCTATATATTGCTAATGTGGTAAATGACTTTTCTAGCTGCAAATGTCTGGTTTTTGGTGCAATATCTACATAGAGGCCCATTTCCAGCAACTTTCACTCCAGTGTTCTAATGGTACAATGTTTTTGCTCATTGGCTCAGAAGGCTAACTGATGATTAGAAAACCCTTGTGCAATCATGTTCACACATCTGAAAACAGTTTAGTTTGTTACAGAAGCAACAAAACTGACCTTCCTTTGAGCAGATTGAGTTTCTGGAGCATCACATTTGTGGGGTCAATTAAATGCTTAAAATGGCCAGAAAAAGAGAACTTTCATCTGAAACTCGACGGTCTATTCTTGTTCTTAGAAATGAAGGCTATTCCATGCTAGAAATTGCTAAGAAATTGAAGATTTCCTACAACGGAAAAAACATACCTCCAAATTGTGCAAGAACTATTTATAGCAGAAGCAGACAGCTGGTATTCTATCGGTAACGGAGTGGCCAGCGCAGTCACCAGATCTGAACCCCAATGAGCTGTGGTGGGAGCAGCTTGACCATATGGTGCGCAAGACGTGCGCATCCAACCAATCCAACTTGTGGGAGCTGCTTCTAGAAGCGTGGGGTGCAATTTCTCCAGATTACCTCAACAAATTAACAGCTAGAATGCCAAAGGTCTGCAATGCTGTAATTGCTGCAAATGGAGGATTCTTTGACGAAAGCAAAGTTTGATGTAAAAAAAACCCATCTTATTTCAAACACAAATCATTACTTCTAATCTTGCCAATGTCTTGACTCTATTTTCTATTCACAACGTATGGTGGTGAATAAGTGTGACTTTTCAGGAAAACAAAAAATACTTTGGGGGACCCCAAACTTTTGCACGGTAGTGTAATCACTATGTATGTATGTATGTATATATATATATATATATATTAGGGCTGGGCGATATAGA